AATTTACATTGGCCGTATGTTCGCACTGTTCAAAAATGCTAGTTTGTTTATTTGGGGAATGCTTTTCGCGAAGATTTTTTTTTCTTTTTCAATATCTGCTTAGAAAATGTTGATGCTTGAGTTTACTTGACTGAATGCATATAAGGGAAAACAGGATCACGAAAGCCTGAATCATCTACAGCATTTCCGCTAACTGATACAAGCTCGGAAAGTGCCAGCTGAATCAGTGGCATGAAGACAAGTTGTGATGAAATTACGGGTGGCACTGGTTTGGTGGGAAGGAGACAGTAGCTTACTGAATTTCAGTGGCTTACTGAGAGTAAATCTGAAGCAGGCAACGGCTATTCTACTATCTTTTGGCATAGAAATCTTGTGCGTGGGATAAAAGGGTTGTGTGAAATTAGGTCAAGAACAGGAAGGACATATAGATGGGAAGAAAGTTTTTTAGAATGCCACAGTTTACGTGTTAAAAGTCAGTTATACTTGCACCAGATTTTCTTAAAAGACATTTTCTTAAAAGGCAAAATTGGAATTCTGGTAAAGTACTAATTCGGATTAAATGAGAAAAAAATAGGGAAATTGCTAGTTTTAGATTAAGGCGTGCCAAACTTGAAATGCATTGCTTTTGTTGCCAAAACTTAGGTGCAGTACTAATCCTTCTTATATTTGGTTGGCTGTCGCTAATAAAACGTGGCATTAAAATATGAACATATGTAAGGTATTAGAGTAAATCAATAGTCAGAACCCCTTCCGTATTTCGTGCTCAGTGAGAGGTGGGGGAGCCAAGGAAGTAGCCCGAGTGCTAACAAATGCCCGCAGCAACTACCCGCTGGCCGAGCTGTTGATGGCGCCTTCTTCTGAAGATTGCTTACAAGCAAACCGATGGCGGGTTTAACTCCTTGGCATTTGCCAGTAGCATTTTACCAACAAAATAAACCGTAGAGGGGTTGGTTGCCCCAAAGTATATATGAAGTATTATTTATGAAGTGAATTTTTATTATTTTTATTGGATGTGCTGTACGGGAAGGGCTGTCACTTCATGTGACATCTCACTGGATGCATTCAAGTTTGAATTAAGATAATTACGCTTAAGCATGATTTTTCAAAGAACAAATAAGTTCATTTATTAGGGATAATTGGAAATGGGAATCTGTATCGGGGACTCTCCTGATGCTACTGATCTGGTGAGGGGAAGGGGAGGGGAGGAAGCTCTGTGCTTGTGTTCGGCTCTGGCCAATGACTACTCTAAAGCGCGTCCGCTTTTTCTGAAAACGAGGATTCAAAACGATTTTTAGTTGATAATTTCCAAAATCTTTTTGCTGTTTTGGCTTGGTCCTGAAAAATGATTGCTTTTTGTTCATGAAGGAAGAGGTGGGGAGGGGGAATTGACCTCTACAAGTGAGGGGAATTTTCTTTTAAAAAAAAAAAAAACTTCGCGCATCCAGAGGGGTCATTTTGGCTACGTGTGCAGAATGGTCATCAGCTGAAGGAAGGCAGTGGTCCGTGGTGACAATGGACCGCTATCGTGCCTTTTCAGTTTGGCTCCCAAAGTTGGAGACCGGAGACCATCAGTTGCACACGTGAATTCATGGACAGTCTGATGATATTTGCTATGGATTCAGCTGCCACAGCACGACACAGCTTCCTCTGCTTGTCTCCAGAATTATGGATTTGTGAGGAGTGCAGGTTAGATTTCTCACCATCCATCATTCTCCACTTGCTTGCTCGTTGCACTCCTGTTGTTAATTATATTTCACTTTTTATGATATTTTTTTGCATCTATGCAATGCAAAACGCACACTGTCGAGGGGTTGCGTGTATGTATGTATGTGTGTGTGTGTGTATGTGTGTCTCTGTATGTGTGTCTCTGTACCGAGTTTTCATCTCGAGATCTACGAAAGCCAAAAAGCTGGAACTATGGCGACGTAATCTGCGGGTACGTAACGGGTCCCTGTCCTCGAAATGGGCGCTCACATCCACGTAGTTCTCACGTGCGGAAACGTGAAATTTTTTTGGCTGAAAAGCGATTTCGGGAATGGCGAAGGCTAGATTTCATATCCAGCCTTTACGCACCCTAAGTTTCACGTGCGTACATGTCTAAATCCAGATTGGCATCATGCCAACTCCAGATTTAAGCTGATTAAGAGGTGGTAAAGAGCTGTAACTTTGCATCTTTGCTTGTTGCCCGCTGATATTCCCGAGAAAGCAAATTAAGCTTTCCAGGCCTCCCGTATCATACGTGGACACATGAAAATTTCACGTAGACAGTTTTGTAGCCTTGGAACTGAAGCAACTAAAGGGCTGGAACTTTCTGAGCATGGCCGGCGGCGACGTTTTTCTAGGTGGATATAAAAATAACTCCCACCTTTTGTTCGGGTCTCACGTATACGTCACGTACGGACGTGTGAAATTTGATGTAACTCCGCAACCGAAGCAGCTGGAGAGCTGAAAATTTCTAAAAATGGCCCGAGACCGTATTTGGGCAGTCCCGCATAAGAAGATTTTTTGCGTTTCCCCTTCACATACGAACACATGGAATTTGACGGAAGCCTGAAACCAGAGCACCTGGAGTGCTGAATTTTTTGAACAAGGACTAGGAGTCACTGTAATAATTTCTGACATCCATGGTGGGCAGTCTCAGTTCTTTTAGCTGGAATCATTTGCTGAGAAAAATAGTGCCGTTAGGGGGAGTTGTGCAAAAAACACATCTTCGCATGGGCAGTCGGTGCGTTGGCCAGTAATTTTTTTCTTGATAGCTCGCTGTTTTTTCCCTAAAATACGAAATTTTTCTGTTTCTGGAGAACTGATTGCGTAAGCTTCATGATTGCACACCATGCAATGCCCTGCTGAACCACTATACCATTTATCTGATTAAACAGTTGTGCATTTCATCAAGTGAACTCTCCTGGGGATCACCGTGAATTGTGGAAAGTAAAGCTCAGTGGTTAAAATGTGCTGCTGTTTTTGCCGATTTCCAGTTAATTGGTTTTCGAACTATAAAACTTCAAATTTTCATTGGATTATTGATGTTTTTGGGATTCTTGTCGTAATGAGCGCGAGGAGAGTGATCCGGTTAAGTTGAACGTGCTGATTACAATTACTTTTTTTTTCTGCAGATTTCTGATTACGAACTTCAGATCTGGTAAACCTGTGTGAGTTAATATGTGTTCCAGATGTTGAT